TTTGCAACTTAAATATTTAGCTTTTTAACTAAATATTTAATTTGCAACTTAAATATTTAGCTTTTTAACTAAATATTTAATTTGCAACTTAAATATTTAGCTTTTTAACTAAATATTTAATTTGCAACTTAAATATTTAGCTTTTTAACTAAATATTTAGATTGCAACTTAAATATTTAGTTTTTAACAAATATTTAGGTTGCAACTTAAATATTTAGTTTTTTACAAATATTTAGGTTGCAACTTAGTTTTGAGCTAAATATTTAGCATTTTAACTAAAAATTTAATTTGCAACTTACCGTAATATTCTGACGGTGGGCATGTGGTGCTGTTGTAGGGTTCTCCTGGTGAGCGGGGTCCTGCTGGACCAGCTGGACCCACAGGTCTGCCTGGACGTTCCGGCCCTCAGGGACCTCCGGGCCCTGCTGGAGAGAAAGGTGGACCTGTAAGTACATCCTCTTATCGAATTATTCATGACATGCAAAATGCAAGCAGTCTGTGCCTAAGGTGTTGCCAAAACTCTAGGGAGAGAAAGGACCTCAAGGCCCAGCTGGAAGAGATGGTATTCAAGGACCTGTGGGTCTGCCAGGACCTGGAGGACCTCCTGGACCACCAGGAGAGGATGGAGACAAGGTGAGTTTCTTTTCACGGCTTGTTTCCTTGACCATTGAATCAAAACTTTGTTTACATGCGTAATATTCTTTGATCAGATTGAAATGTGTTTGGATTAAATAATCCAAATGTATTGTGTTTATACGGGCACAAAATTAATTAATCTAATCATGTCACGTCAGTTTTCTACAGTCAGAATAAGATGATCAGACTAAGAGCTAAAGTGATGCAGTTTGGTTTGTTTCAGTCTGTATCTTTCTGTCCAACATTCTGTAAGAAAATTTAGTGTTTGTTTACTGGAATCGAGACGAAACCACATAAATGCTGAATAGATTTAAATGTGAAGAGAATGGAACCATACAACCCAGATCTGGTTACGAGCAAAGTTGCTCCCGGCTGGAGTCAGCAAAAGCAGCGCTGCCTGAAAACTGGAAGTTCTGGGGTCTCATTTATAAAGGATTGCGTGGAAACCATACTAAAAGTGAACGTAYGGCSAAAAGGCGGAAATGGCGTACGCCAAAAAAAATTCAGATTTATAAAACC